GGGACGAGAAGACGAAGCAAGCGACGTCGAGAAGACGTCGAGGAGGATCGAGGCCGGGAGAGAAGGAGAGGGGGAACACGCTTTAAACGTAAGCCACCCTCTCCCCGGGCAGGAGATAGGTGCCACTTAAGATGAGAAAACCGTCATTTCAAAGGCTCACGCGAGATGCTTTCCCCCTTTCGAGATGCTAAAAATCCCGGGCGTACCGATTCCTCGGGGAGAGGGGAAGTTGGGAGGGGTGATTTCGAAGGCAACCGCGTGGAAACCATCGGGAAGTGGGAGAGGGAAACGTTTTTTTCACCAATTCAATTTTAAGTTTTGGATAATTTCGAGAAACAGGGTTAAAACGGAGGGGACGTGTCGATGAATTTCGTTGTGGTTAAAGGAAAGTGTGTCTGCTGTGATAAAAAAATATGAAATGCGTTAGTACGAAAATAGTAAATTTTAATCGAATAGGATATTAATTGGATTGTTGCAAATGAAACGATTGAATTCTTAAATATTAAAACATGGTTGGAATTATGTGTATCACGATTAAAATTCTTTAATTGTTATCAATAAATCCTTGGTTCTATATTTTCCAATTTAAATTATTCGTGTCGAACTTCTCAGAAAAGATTAAATTTTAATTTCGTATGAGATATAATATTCAATGCTTGGAAATCTAGTTCGTTGCAATACACGTTTTATTTGATTAAATTCGAACATCAAGTTGATCATTATATCACATTATATCAACGTTACACATTTAATAATTGCAAATTCTTTTTTAAATTCCGAATCTTTTTAAATAATTTCGTGTGAAACTGACCGTTTCGTATGCAACGAACACACAGTGAAAATCGTCCATCTCGAAACGAGGTGAAAAATTTAATCCAGAAAAGTGGCAAGGGATCCAAAAGCAAAGACCGACGTCCATCAGCGATCGTTGATTGCTATCCCGTTTCTCCTTGAAAAATCGGTTCCGGATAAACATTTCTGTTCGTTGCGACCCGTTGGAAAATAGAGGAATAAAAAAAAAAAAAAAAAAAAAAAAAAAAAAGAAAGAAAGAAAGAAAGAAAGAAAGAGATACTGTGAGAATCGCGCGGAAATAGAGCTCTTTGAACGCGGAGGGACGAAACAAAGCGGGCGATGTCATCCCGCTCGAGGTTTTTCCACGAAGCCGCGACGAAAATTCGAAATTCAGCGCGGTGTCGACGGCAGGGAAGCGTAATGCATCTGTTTGCGTTCTTTCGTTCCATTTTCGGTGCGGCGCGAATCCATTTTCCATGCGGAATCGTTATGTCTCCAATAAATCACGCCGGAATGAAATCCGAAATTTACGAATCGCGTATCAAAATTCCATATATATATATATATATAGCGGCGCCGTGTTGGATCCGGTTTCCGCGACGACACGCGTCGTTGCACGCGAAAAATCCCCGCGATTTTAATTTG